GGACAGGGGGATGGAGGGGACATGGGGATGGGGATTCCATGGGGACATGGGGATGGAGGGGACATGGGGATGGGGGTTTCATGGGGACATGGGGATGGGGGGATACAGGGATGCGGGGGACATGCTAATGGGGACATGGGGATGGAGGGGATGTGGGGATGGGGGTTCCATGGGGATGGAGGGGATATGGGGATGGGGATTCCATGGGGACATGGGGGTGGAGGGGATATGGGGATGGGGGTTTCATGGGGACAGGGGGATGGGGGGATATGGGGACAGGGGACTAAAGTCCCACGGGGATGTGGGTGTCACAGGGACGTGCTGATGGCAGACACGGGGACAGGGGGGTGTAGGGCACGTGGGGGACATGGGGACACGGACACGGGGTACACGGGTGCCAGGGGGCCATCGCCTGACCCAGCGCCCCCCATCCCGCGTCCTCAGGGGGTCCCTACGGGGCCGTGGGGGTGGACCTGGCGTTCGAGAAGCTGCTGTGCCAGATTTTCGGGGAGGATTTCATCGGCACGTTCAAGGCGCGGCGCCCCGCCGCCTGGGTGGACCTGACCATCGCCTTCGAGGCGCGGAAACGCGCGGCCGCCCCGTCCCGCTGCAGCCCCCTCAACATCTCCCTGCCCTTCTCCTTCATCGACTTCTACCGCAAACACCGCGGCCACAACGTGGAGACCGCGCTCCGCAAGAGCAAGTGAGGGAGGGGGGACGGGTGGGAGGGGATTGGGGACACCCCCGGGGACAGGGAGGGACAGGAGGGGCTTGGGGACATCCCTGGGGGCACGGGGACAGGAGGGGTTTGGGGACACCCCCAGGGACAGGGAGGGACAGGAGGGGTTTGGGGACATCCCCGGGGCACGGGGACAGGGAGGAGCACGAACTGGGGAGGGGGAGAGGGAAAAAAGCAGGGGGGGGGCTGGGCTGGGGGGGCAACGTGGGACAGGAGTCATGGACTCGGGGGGATAAGGTGGGACAGGGGTGGTGGGCTGGGGAGGGACAAGGTGGGACAGGGATCCAGGTGGGACAGGGACTCAGGTGGGACAGGGGTGGTGGGCTGGGGGGTCTCTGGGGGGACAGGGACTCAGGTGGGATGGAGTGCGGAGCTGGGGGGCTTCAGGGGGGAGAGGGGGTCAGGCAGGATAGGGGTTGTGGGTTGAGGGTGACAGAGGGACAGGGGTGGTGGATTGGGGGCTGACAGAAAGACAGGGGTTGTGGATTCGGGGGTGACAGAAGGACAGGGGTGCTGGCCAGGGGAGGACCAGCTGGGAGCCCCCAGACCCCCTGTCCCTCCCCAGTGTGAACTTTGTGAAGTGGTCGTCGCAGGGGATGCTCCGGATGTCTCCGGAGGCCATGAACGAGCTCTTCCAGCCCACCATCACCCACATCATCCAGCACATCGGTGTGTCCTGGGGACCCCTCCCTGATCCTGGGACCCCTCCCTGATCCTGGGATCCCCTCCGTCCCTGGGACCACCCTTGCCCTGGGATTCCCCCTGTCCCTGGGAGCCCCCCACCCCTGGGACACCCCTGTGCCTCTGAGCCCCCAACCCTGGGACCACCCCCATTCCTGGGACTCCTCCTATCCCCGGGAGCCCTCCATCCCTGGAATCCCCCCCTGTCCCTGGGACCACCCCCATCCCTGGAATACCCCCCTGTCCCTGGAACCTCCCCTGTCACTGGGAGCCCTCCTGTCCTTGGGACCCCCTTCTCTATGAGCCCTCCACTCCTAGGACCACCCCCATCCCTGGGACCCCTTCTATCCCTGGAATCCCCTTGTCCCTGTGAGCCCTCCATCCCTGAGACCCTCCCTGTCCCTGGAACCTCTCCCATCCCTGGGAACCCCCCTTGCCCCTGTGACCCCCTTCTGTCCCTGGGACCCCCTATCTCTGGGCCCCCCTCCCATCCCTGGGACCCCTCCTCTCTGGGACCCCTTCCATCCCTGGGACCCCTTGTCTCTGGGAGCACCCCACCCCTCAGACCCTCCCTGCCCCGATGAGCCCTCCACCCCTGGGAGCTCCCCCGTCCCTGGAACCTCTCCCATCCCTGGAACCCCACCTTGTCCCTGTGACCCCCTTCTGTCCCTGGGACCCCCTGTCTCTGGGAGCACCCCATCCCTTGGACCCTCCCTGTCCCCATGAGCCCTCCACCCCTGGGAGCTCCTCCCTCCCGGGAACCTCTCCCATCCCTGGCAGCCCCCAATCCCCGGGACCCCATCACCCCTCAGCCCCCCCAGGGCGGCCCTGAAGACCCTCAGCTCCCAAACCCTTTTCCCTCCAGACTCTCTGCTGAAGAAGCCGGAGGTGGAGGGCGTCAAGTTCCTGTTCCTGGTCGGGGGCTTCGCGGAGTCTCCGGTGCTGCAGCGGGCGGTGCAGGCGGCCTTCGGCGCCCGCTGCCGCGTCATCGTCCCGCAGGACGTGGGGCTCACCATCCTCAAGGGCGCCGTGCTCTTCGGCCTCGACCCCGGCGTGGTGCGGGTGCGGCGCTCGCCCCTCACCTACGGCGTGGGCGTCCTCAACAAGTTCGTGGAGGGGAAGCACCCGCGGGAGAAGCTGCTGGTCAAGGAGGGCCGCAACTGGTGCACGGACGTCTTCGAGAAGTTCGTGTCCGTGGACCAGTCGGTGGCGCTGGGGGAGGTGGTTCAGCGCAGCTACTGCCCCGCGCGGCCCGGCCAGCGCCGCACCCTCATCAACATCTACTGCAGCGCCCGCGACGACGTGCGCTACATCACCGACCCCGGCGTGCGCCACTGCGGCACCATCAGCCTCCAGCTCGACGGGGACGGGGGGGACGGGGGGGACGCCGGCCCGGCGCGGGGCCGCAGGGAGATCCGGGCCAGCATGCAGTTCGGGGACACCGAGATCAAGGTCACCGCCGTGGACACCCGCACGGCACGGACGGTGCGGGCCACCATCGACTTCCTGTCCAACTGAGAGCCCTGGGACTGCCACCATCGACTTCCTGTCCAACTGAGAGCCCTGGGACTGCCACCATTGACCAGGACCTGCCACCATCGACTGCCTGTCCAACTGAGAGCCCTGGGACTGCCACCATCCACCAGGACCTGCACCATCGACCTCCTGTCCAACTGAGCCCCCACCATCAACCTCCTGTCCAACTGAGACACCCTGGGACTGCCACCATCCACCAGGACCTGCCACCGTCGACCTCCTGTCCAGCTGAGAGCCCTGGGACTGCCACCATCCACCAGGACCTGCCACCATCCACCAGGACCTGCCACCATCAACCAGGATCTGTCACTATTGACCTCCTGTCCAACTGAGCCCTCACCATTGACTGCCTGTCCAACTGAGAGCCCCGGAACTGCCACCATCGACTTCTTGTCCAACTGAGACACCCTGGGACTGCCACCATCGACCCGGACCTGTCACCACCGACTTCCTGTCCAACTGACACCTGAGACCCCCAGGACACACCCCACTTTCAACTTTCTCTCCAGCTGAGACCCCCCCATCATCATGGGGACCCCTGGGACCATGAGGGCCAGCATCGACTTCCCCTCCATCTGAGACCCCCCAGGACCTGCCACTGTGGATTTCCTCTTCAACTGAGACCCCTCATTGCTGTGGGGACCCCTGGGACCTTCCACCCCTCCATCCCTCCACCTGACCCCCCTCTCCCCAGGGACCTGCCACCATCGACTTTCTCTCCACCTACGACCTGAGACCCCTCCCAGGACCTGCCACCATCAACTTCCCCTCCATCTGAGACCGCCCAGGACCTGCCACCATTGACTTCCACTCCAACTGAGATCTCCCAGGACCTGCCACCATTGACTTCCCCTCCAACTGACCCCCTGTCATTGTGGGGACCCCCAGGACCTGCCACCATCGATTTCCTCCCCAAATGAGACCCCTCGTCACTGTGGGGTCCCCAAGGATCTGCCACCCACTTGGTGACTCCAACTGAGACCCCCCAGGCCCTGACCTGCTACCACCGATTTCCCTCCCAGCTGAGACCCCCAGGAGTGCCACCATCACCCTCCTCCCAGCTGAGACCCCTGGGGAGCTGCCACCATCACCCTCCTGCCCAGCTGAGACCCTCAGGAGTGCCACCATCACCCTCCTCCCAGCTGAGACCCCTGGGAGCTGCCACCATCACCCTCCTCCCCAGCTGAGCCCCCCCCACAGCTGTGGGGACCCCGGGACCTCCCCAGCTGAGCCCCCCTGTCACCATGGGACACCCAGGACCTGCCTGCCCCTCTGGACCCCCCAGCCCCGCTCTGGGACCCCCCTGGGCACAAAGGGCCGGGCAGAGGGGACATTGATGCCCCCCCTTCCCCAGGACACCCCAAAAGTGCTGTTGGGTAGTGCAGCACTGAGACCCCCCTCCCAGTGGGGTCTGATTGGGGGGTTGCACCCCAAGGGGGGGCCCAAACAGAGGTAAGGACCACCATGGAGCCCCCAGAACCCCCCTTTCTGTGTTTATATATATATATATTACATGTCCCCAACACTCCCAGCCAGGACAGGGACAGTGACACGGGGGGGACATGGGCCCTCATCCTCCCCCAGCCCCCCTCTAACTGGAATTCGCCCCCCACCCCACCCAGGGGTGTTTGGGATCATCCCTGGACACCCCTCCCCACACCCCAGGGAGCACAAACCACTGTCCCTGACCCCCCTCCCCCGGCTGGGGGTGTCCCCTGTCCCCCCACCCCGTGCTCCCAGGGGGGTTAATGCAGGGGAACTGGGCTCCAGCCCCTTCCCAGTGGGATTTTATTATTTCCCAAGGTGGGATTTTTTTACTTCCCCCCCCCCCCCCCGTGCCCCCCCAGGCATGAGATATCACTATATATATATATATATATATATATATATAGGCACATAAAGCCTCCTGTTGCTTCAGAAACTTCTCCTGGTCCTTGTACCACGAGGAGAAAAAGGGGAGGGGAAAGAAAAGAGCGAAAAAAAATACGACAAGAGGCGGGAAAAACAGGAAAAGGGGAGGGAAAAAAAGCCCAAGGGGAGGAGAACGAGGCGAAGAAGGAGGAGGAGAACGAGGAGGAGGAGGAGGAGAATGAGGAGGAGGAGGAGGAGGAGAACGAGGAGGAGGAGAATCAGGAGGAGAATGAGGAGGAGAATGAGGAGGAGGAGAACGAGGCGCTGGCAGCGACACGAGGACACGGACGGGGCCACGGAGCCACGAGTGGCTCCCCCACTCCCGCCCCAGCTCAGCCCCACATTCCACAGGCAAAATCCCTCCCCGGGGTGGGGGAAAAAAATCCCACCCCAAGAGGCAAAATCCCCCCCGGCTCCCGCCGTGCTGGGGCCCCCCGGGGCCGCGGGGAGGGGGGAGCGGCAGCAGCAGCAGCAGCAGCAGCTGGAGGCAGCAATCGGGGTCCGTCCCCCCCCGGGCCGTGGGGACCCCCCCCCCCGGGCAGTGGGGACCCCCCGACCCCGCGCCGGGCCCGGGGGGGCTCAGTCGAAGCCGTGCCAGTCGCTCTGCTCCGAGTCGTACTCCAGCTCGGCGCCCACGCAGCGCACCCCGTCCAGCAGCATCGGCGTCCCGTGGTGCCGGTCTGGGGACGAGGGGCGGCCTTGGGGACAGCCCCGGCCTCGGGGACACCCCCGGGGACACCGCGGGGGCCGCTGCCCAGCGGTGGTGGGGGGGAAACATCCCTTTTTGGGGCGGGGCGGGGCAGTTTTAGGGCTCGCAGGGGGCTCGTCCCCCGTCCCAGGGGACGCCCACGGGCGGTGCCGGCCCCGGGAGGGGACATCGTGTCCCGTCCCTGTGTCCTGTCCCTGTGTCCCCGTCCTGGGCACTGCCAGGGGCTGGGACAGCCCCCGAGGGTTGGGGGGCAGGGGGGACTGGGGATGGCCGGGATATGGGGTGGAGGGACACGGGGGAGCTGGGGGGGGAATCCAGCCCTGCCAGGATCCCAACCCTGGGGATGTCGGGGTCACCCTGCATCCCTTCCCGGGGTCACCCTGCACCCCTTCCCAGGGTCTCCTCAGCCCTCAGGGAGGGGATTTTGGGGTGAAAATCCCCCGGTTTAGGCAATTCCTCAGCACTGCCCAGGGGTGGGGACAGCCCCCGAGGGTTGGGGGGCACCCCGAGGGTGACTAGGGGTGCTGTGGGGGAACCCCAGTCTGGAAAGGGTCCCAACCCCGAGGATATTGGGGTGACCCAACCCCCCTCCCTCCCTGCACCCCTTCCCAGGGTGGGGGTTTTGGGGTGAAAATCCCCTGGTTTAGGCAATTCCTCAGCACTGCCCAGGGGAGGGGACAGTCCCCGAGGGCTGGGGACACGGGGGGGGGGGGGGGGGGGGGGGGGGGGGGGGGGGGCGGAACCCCAGCCTGGCCAGGCATGGGGACACTGGGGATGTTGGGGTCACACCCCCCTTCCCAGGGTGCCCTCGGGGCAGGGATTTTGGGTTGAAAATCCCCCGGTTTAGGCCCTTTCCCAAGGGGTGGGACACTCGCACTGGGACAACGGGGGCAGAGGGGCCGTGCTGGGGGCACAGGCAGAGCCCCAGCTCTGCATTCCCAGGGCTGGGGGCACAGGCAGAGCCCTGGGACCCCCCCGAGGTGCTGCCCCTTACCCATGACCCGGGCCTGGACGGTGACCCTGACGTGGCCGTGGCCGGGGGTGGCCAAGAGCAGCTCCTCCCTCAGCACCCCCTCCTTGTGCGCCGTGTACTCGCAGTGCACGCTCAGCCCTGGGGACACAGGGGGGGATGAGCCCTGCCTGCACCTTCCCTGCCCTGCCTGACCCTGCCCTGCCCTGCCTGACCCT